AGAATCTGTAGCTTTTATTAGATTTCCAAAGGAGTCTAAGAAGAGCCCATAAAGGTCAAGAATCACTAGCAAAGTGGTTGAAAACATGGACTTCAGAGTGACCCAGACCTACTTCAAATTTGCTTTTAGACATGTGACTTGTAACAATGCACTTAACTTGCTTGATCCTTGGTTTCTTCTTTTATAAAGAGGAGCAGTAGTCCCCAGTGTATAGTGTTGCTGGAAGGATTAAATTGTCTAGTGCATATAAAGGGTTTAGCACAATAACTGCGCAAAGGAGAAACTCATTAATAATTATATTCATTGTAGTGCCTTTAATCATCTCCAGAACTCTGATTTTAGAAGCAGCGTAGCATAATGCGTACATATCTGACTCAGACAGGTAGACCTGGCTGTGACAGTGTTCTTTGACTTCATTTCTCTGAGCCTCCATTTTTACCTCTCTTAGTGGAGGGTGATGCTTGTATCACAGGGATGTTTTGAGAAATGAGAACATACGCAAAATATTTGCACAAGGACTGGCCTGCATTTGGTGTTCAGTAAAAGGGGGTATAACACTCAGACACCTTGTCTCCTAGTCCATTCTTCCTCCGCATTAGAACCAGGTCAGGGCTGATGAGACTTGAAGCCATCCCAGGACATGGAGAAAACCTAAATCTCATACCAGTTTTTTTTTTTTTTTTTTGCTGTACGCGGGCCTCTCACTGTTGTGGCCTCTCCCGTTGCGGAGCACAGGCTCCGGACGTGCAGGCTCAGCGGCCATGGCTCACGGGCCCAGCCGCTCCGCGGCATGTGGGATCTTCCCAGACCAGGGCACGAACCCGTGTCCCCTGCATCGTCAGGCGGACTCTCAACCACTGCGCCACCAGGGAAGCCCCTCATACCAGTTTTTATTCGTCCTAATGTGCCCTAATGTGGAGGAAGTTACTCTCTATCTTTAGTCTGTTCTCCTTCCTCTTTTTCTTATTTTTCTTCCTCTTTGGGAACCTCCTTTACTCCGTCTTAGCTTGAGGTTGGATAGAGTTGGTTATGGGGGTTGCCAAAGGTAAGGAGTGTAGTTGTGGTCTTTTTGGTTAGGGGCCTGATGGCCATAAAGTAGGAAGGAAAGTGTCTTTTTTGGGACTGCTGAAAGAGAGTTCCATAAACTGGGTAGTTTTTTAACAGCAGAAATTTACCCCTCACAGTCCTTGAGTTTGGAGTCCAAGATCAAGGTGCTGCAGATTCAGTGTCTGGTGAGATGTGGTTGATAGACAGCTGTCTTCTTCTTGCTGTAACCCCATATGGCAGAGGGGACAAGAGATCTCTCTCAGGCCTCTTTTATAAGGGCACTAATTACCTTCCAAATACCCTGCCTCCTAATACCATCATGTTGGGGGTTAGGATTTCAACATATGAATTTGAGGAAAACACAAACACTCAGTCCATAGCAGAAAGGGCATTTTCTTTTCATTCAACAAATGCAAGAATGATCCAGATGACGATGAAATAAATATCCTAGAATTCCTGGGTAACATCCTGGATAGTTGAATTCACTCATGTAAAATCAGTTGAGGAGAGTTACCATTCTCATGCCTAAGTGTTTACTTAAACATAGTATTCACAGAAAAAAATAAAAAATGACTTTTCTTGGTAAAAATCATTCCAAAGCAGAATAGACATGCACAATTTTGAGGAATCTTTGATGAGTTTTGAGTAATGACCTATTCATTGAATCAACTTGATTTTAGATCAAGACTAGACCTGGATACACATGTATGTATACATAGCTAGATAGGTAAACAGTCCCTGCCCTACCCCCTTTGCCCCTGCCACTTCCAGCTTGCTTCCTAGCTCTGCCATCCCCCAGCCCAGTCTCCTGTCTCCCCATCTTCTATCGTCTGACTCTGGCTTTCATGTAAGGTTCTCTTCCAGGAGACATCTGGTGGATTTGAAAGTCTTTTTCCTTGAAGCATGATCCCTTTAGGGACTTGTCATCTTCGTAGAACACAGAATGGGTAGTGAATAGCGGGTGCTGAGAAGTCAGAACTTGGACTATTCTGATCCAGCTCTGATCTTAACTAGCTGATCAAGTTCTTCCACGTAGATTGTGGAAGTGCCTTCTCTTAAGAAGATGAGTTCAATAAATGGTTTCTCATCCTCTTTGGCCATCACATTATTTATAAACGGAAGAGGTTGGACAAGATGATCTCTAAGGACCCTTCCAGCTCTGAATTCTGTGATTATATTCTACATGTTAGGACAATGTGGTACTTACTGGCATCACCAGTAATGAAATTACCCATCCTTTATCTTATAAAGGAAAAGCAAAAACCAATAGCAACAGACCAGCCAAGCCTAAAAAGGAGAGTATGTGGATTTTTATCACACCAGCAACTCTCCAGTGATGCTTGTGATGAATGCGAATGTCTTCATAAAAAAAAAAAAAAAAATCCCAGCTGCCCTGGGGTGACCCGACCTGCCCTTTTGTTTTGGACTTGGATACGGCAAACATGTTCTACTATAATGTAGTTCTGCATGCTTGAGACTCAGAATGTAGCTGAAAATAAAAGTCTGTGCTTAATACTTGCTGGTAAGAAATTATCTTACAAAAAATGTTTTTCTTCCATCTCCTTATCTCTTATTTACCTTTCACTCAGACCTTGCCCCATACTTCACAGAGAAAGTTCACGGGAGGTTACCAGGTGGATCTCACTCAGATTTCATTCCCTCAATTCTAGAAGTACCCATTAAGTTTCAATCTTTATCTTTCTTCTTCCTGTCCTAGCGGATGAGATGTCCTGCCAAGACTAAGCGTCTGCAGATCCAGCGCTCGACCTCATTTCCTGTTAACAGGGCTGGGATCCTGATCCAGCTCTTCTGCTTCCTCCTCGTCTTTAAAAACCACACATCTGTTTCCAGTCCTCCTAAAAAAAAACTTTTTAGTGACCCTCCCAACTGCCCGCAAAAGATTCAGCCCGCTAGTCCTCCTTGCATTAAATGCCGTAATAGAACAGAATAATTTCTGGAGTAAAGTGTCTCACGTCACTTGCCACAGCCATTAAGGTTGTTTTTGTTTTACCCCATTTCATGTAGCCTTAATCTTATCCTTTATGTGCCTCACTCAACATGAGATAACAGAAATGAAGCCATTTCTTTCTCGTTTGGCCTTTCCTGTAAATCTCATTTCCAGATTTGCTCCAAATTAGAGGAAAGGTTAAGTGGAGTGGGAAAACAAGAGGAAGGCAGAGGACATTAGGCTCTGTTGAGGCAGTGCACTCAGACGTTTTACAGCTCGATCGATCCATCCCATGGCCTCGCCATCTCAACTTTTCTCATCAGGACGGCGTGTGCGCCTTTGGGCGGCCTCCACGATCTATGGGCCAACACCCTCTACAGCAGGAGGCGCGTGCAGTGCATCTCCACGAGGGCATTAGCGCTCCAGAACGGCTCTCACCACTCTCCCCCTTTTCCCAGCTGTCAGCAGAGGAACTTCCTCTGACCATCTGCTGCCGCATTAGTCAGAGTTCATCAACTTGTCCACAGGATTTCTCTCCCAAAGCTGTACAGTTGCTCCTCTTGTTCATTGTATGTCTGTTGTTCTCATTTCTTAGGGAAGTTCTGTTTTGTTTTTCTTTTACATTTCATTCCGTTAATGTGAACGTGGATCCCAGATACTTCTAACTGCAGAAACTTTAATACTTCCCTCTGCCTGTTTTAGGGTGGCACAACTGTAGTCTAGAGACAACAAAGGGAGTCCTAGTAGAGAAACTAAAAAGAGCCAAGGTTCATGAAACCTGAACTTAAGTCAGTTTCTCTCTGCCTCTATTTTGTGACCTAGGGCAACTTACATCACTTTCGTGCCTCGGTTTCCTTATTTGTAAAATGTGAATAAAAGCATTAATCTACTCAACTTCTTGAGTTCTGTGAGGTCTAGAGATAATTCATGGAAAAACTGTGATACAAGCCTACTGTTATTTCTGTTAAATTTATTAGCAGTGGCCCTAGCATCACGACCTTCCTAAAATTGCATCTGTGCCTCACAGCAAGAACTTTCTACCCTAGTGTGTAGCAGGTATAACGCACATCCCTAATCAGACTGTCAATATTTAAGCATCTTTTCTCCTAGGCTGCCTGTTGGGGACATGTACTGTGATCCCCACCAGCTCTTTTGTAGGCAGAGCTGGCATCCCAGTTTGTTTAGCTACTGCTATGGACTCCAGCTTGTGGGGGGCTTCTGGCTGAAGATGACTGGTGCCTAGAGGTGCTTTAGACTAGAATCTGGGCTGCCTATCCACCTGCCGCAGTTCCGAGTGCTCTGTGGCACGTGGTGTTCCTTCCTGAAGGTGCTGGGTGAAAGTGCTCGTCACTCAGAGCCTCATCACAAAAGGCTTGACAGTCCCCTTTGTCAAGCGTTTCTGCCGGAAGACATCATAGCAAATTGGTCCTGTGTTACAAACCTCTGCGTTCTTTTGCAGACCAGCAACTTTTTAGTTGTGTTAGAGAAAATTACAGGAGAATTTTGTTTTTTTTTTTATCAGCACTATCCAATAGAGCTCGCAATGATATCTAGGAGACGCATTACTGCTCTCAAGCTTACAACGTTTAAGCATGATGTCTCTCTGTGCCTGAAAATGCAAGCGATACGACCACTTTCTTTTGCTCCCAAACCCCCTTTCCTTAAGTCAGCAATATGGTCCCTGCCAGAGCGAATGTCAGAATCAGGCTAGGTAGCATACTTGCCAAAGATTTAGGTTAAGAGACATTATACAAATGTCTAAATTATTGCAGTTTGGAACTCTAAGATTTCTAAAAATCTCTTTCACACAATTCATTATTGTTAGTATTTGTGACTATTTGATAAACTCCAGAATCTTTTTCTGCCATGGAAAATGAATTATTTCTAATGGCTATTTTTTTTTTTTTTTTCGTTTTTCATTTTAAACTTGAACTTTTCCCTGGAACAGTCACATGTCATCACCATGCTTTTCTCTATTTAACACTTTTTCTTACCTCCACCCTAGGATGGTCGTCTGCAGGTGAATGACCAGCTGATTGCAGTTAACGGGGAATCTCTTCTGGGAAAGTCCAACCACGAAGCTATGGAAACACTTAGGCGATCAATGTCCATGGAAGGAAACATACGAGGGATGATCCAGTTGGTGATTCTGAGGAGGCCAGGGAGACCACTGGAGGTGATGCAAATTTTTATTTCCTTCTGCAAATTGCCCAAATGGCCACCAGAATATTCACACTTCCACCACTAGTATGGTAACTAGGCTCATACTGATTCTGAAATTGGAAAAATATGCCCTAGACGTGCTCTGATGGGTTTATGTGGCAAATTGGCGGTTGTATATTTTAGGTATAACTGGAAGGTGTAAAAATGTGCATATAAATTAAATAATTTATCTAGGGTAACAAGTCCATAATTTCCAGTTTTCCCCCCAGAAACTCCTAGAGCTCTGGACTTTACGAATAACGCTTTATTCATATTATAAACATTAAAGCATAAAACATGCTTATATACTTTTTGGATGACATGCTAGCAGTGTCCATACCTTAGACAGTCCTTAATCAGATGTATATAATGCTTACTGTGAAGATCATTATAATGCAATCAGCTCTCTACATTCTTCCTGTAATGTGTGCCTGGGACTTAACTAATTTAAAATTTGATCTATTAAACAAGCTTCTTGCTTCATGTTCTTAAATAAATGTTTTTAATTGAAGAAGTATTTTTGAAATCTTTTATCATGATTTCTTCATGGATATTTTTAATGTAAGCAATATTTTTACATACTCATGAAGTGTGAACGTAAACTATTCTTGAAGGCTGATATCCCTAAACATTTCAGTTACATACAATTATATTATTTATATAATTATTATATTATACAATTATATATTATAGTGTACAGCTATCATATTCATCATAAGGTATTCCTAAAACATTATTTTCACTTATATAGAGAGAATAATTATTAAATGCTCCTAAAAATTATTTTAAGAAAAGATAAGAAAAAAGTCGATAATACTTAAGAGTTGAGAGAAACATCAGCAAATCACACATATATTCTCTAAGGACAAATAATGTTTTTGTGATACAGTAATACACAAAGTTAAAATAGAATCTTATTAAAACACACTAATATAAAATATTAGTTTTAATAATAAATTCAACTTAAACATTTTAAAATGAAAAGATTTTGAAATTAAGACTGGAAAGTAGTTGGGGATGATAGTGGTTAAAATGTTGGACTCTGGAGTTTTGGATTACTTGAGTTAAAATCCCACGTGGGTCATTTCCTGGCTATGCAAAGACATACATAGTTGAATGCTCTGTACTTATAGATAGCAATACTGTTGTCTGCCTTATCCCTTCATAGATCCTCATTTCCCAGCACCTAGTAGTAGACAGTTGTTATATATTGTTGAATGGATGGATAAAAGTTGCATCTGAGACCCTACTTCATCTGAGAGGATAAGCTGAAGTAGTGAACTTATCAACTATATCTTACTCTGTCATTTTATCAGCTGTTGAAAAGGAGTAACTACCCTTTAACTTTTCTGTACATAACCTTGTAAATGTTAAATAAATGTAAATTTCCCAATTACTGGAGACTATATATAATGAACCAACTCATTTCCAACATTTGTGTCTGCTTAAGTGACAAAGAGGTTTCCATGAATATTTAAGGGATTTTACTTATAGTAATTTTTTAATTTATTTTAAGATTTTACTTATAGTCATGAAACCCTTATCGCTTGCTTCCTACGTTGAGAGAATAGGCTGCTTTCTGGTTGAATTTGGTTCTTACTCGAGAGCCCTAGACCTCCACAGAACCCACTTGTTGGATGTGGGTGTGAAGTATGACCTGTAGACCCCTGAATCACCCCTTCCATGCATCTGTGTTTTAGATCTCCCTTAAGATGTCTTGGGACAAAGATACCTCAACTAATAGAAAAGTCTGGAATACACTGCTCAAGAATTCCATATCTGTGTAGATAGAAAAAGTAAAAGAAAAAAAAAAAGAAAGGAACATGATTGCTAAAAGGGTTCCCTCCCCACCTCTCCACCTCTCATCTTCCCTTGTTTCACGTCTTCTCTAAAATATGTGAATGCCTAGAGGATAAGTACTCTCTCTTTTCGTTATCCTTTACGGCACGTATTTTCATTTTAATTCTCACACTCTGGGCTGGGTTGATAATTATTTCATCAGAAGAAAGTACTAAGCCTTCAGTTGGTTGCCCATCTTTTTTTTTTTTTTTTAATAGATCTTTACTGGAGTATAATTGCTTCACAGTGCTGTGTTAGTTTCTGCTGTACAACAAAGTGAATCAGCCATATGCAAACATATATCCCCATATCCCCTCCCTCTTGCGTCCCCCTCCCACCCTCCGTATCCCACCCCTCTAGGTGGTCACAAAGCACCGAGCTGATCTCCCGGTGCTGTGCGGCTGCTTCCCACTAGCTATCTCTTTTACATTTGGTAGTGTATATATGTCGATGCTACTCTCACTTCGCCCTAGCTTCCCCCTCCCACCCCGTGTCCTCAAATCCATTCTCTATGTCTCCAACTTTATTCCTGCCCTGCAACTAGGTTCATCAGTACCTTTTTTTTTTTTTTTTTAGATTCCATATATATGCATTAGCATACAGTATTTGTTTTTCTCTTGTTAATACTGTTCACTGAGGACTCAATTGGGAATAAGAAATGGGACAAAAAGCATTGTTTTTGAGGACATTTAACCAGGATCCATTTTTATTTGCCCTAATATTTACATGCTTTCCATGGGGGGTGAGCAGGCACTTGGCTCTCTCAACTAGTGAGAATCTCTGTGGTACCTATGAAGATTAAAGAGTGTTTTTTTCATATAAAGACAGCAGCCTAATGTACAGATAATCTTTATTAAATTAAAAAAAAATCTGTAGCTATTTGATATCCCGAATCTGTTTTGCTGTGTCAAATCATACATGTTGTGTGCTCGTGTTTTTGGAGGATTCTTCAGTGAACAGCAATCGCTCTCAGGTACAATAAAAAAGAATCTGTAACCTAGAAAAGGCCTCAGTTCTGCTCATATATTCAGGGAAATCAATTAGTTAGATGTTGGAAGAATACCAAAATGGTTACTTGAACATTATATTGATATTAAAAAAAATACTGAAGACGCTACTTAAGAAAAGTCAAAATATATTGTCGTTGGGTATTTTCCCACATTACCCAGATGTACAAGATATGTAAACAGTTTTGATGAGGACCTCGTGAAGAATACATAATGAGCCCTTGATTGAATCAAAATCGTTTTAAATAGAAACATATTTTTCAAAGGATGAGCTTGAGGTTCAATTGTAATTCTATTTGAGCCTAGAGACTTGGTATTAAAAAATGGGTTATGACCTGTTTTTTTTTTTTTTTTTTTCCTTCCCCAAAACATTTCCCTCCCCTGAGCTGTAAGCTCAGCTTGGTGGAAGCAGAAAATGTTTAAAAATCCATTGTATTTTTTATTGGCTGGGACACTAATGGAAGGCTCCACGACAGCTCTGTTTTACAGGCTGAATATTTTAATTAGGCTGGTTACTGATCAGTTGTTGGGATATTGATTGTGTCATTTATCAAAGAGCCGGGAAAGCAGAAAAAAATTTTTGTTGTTGTTGTTAAAGCACTTGACTATGCAAGGTAGGTCCTACCTCTCCTACCTTCCAGGGCTCCAGCTTTAATTTAGGAGTAGCTTGCCCCAGGCTTGGGTTGACTAATGAACCAGGGGCAGAAGGTAACACTGGGTGTGGAAAAAGTGTTATAAGCCTTGACAAAAAGCTAAAGGACCTTCAGCAGCTGAAAACATGTTAATTATGAAGAATGCATGCATGGAATGTTTTGAATATTTTGTTTAACTAGCAGGATACCGAGTTTCTGTAACTAAAGAGGAAAGTAGAAATCACATGCATTATTTGGGCCAAATGCTCTTTTTCAGAAGGAAAGAGCTTTGGGGATCAGATCTATGTTTGTGTTTGCGGAATGTTCCTCTCACACATGGTCAAGGGAACGGCCCTGAGATGGCCTTCAAATTACTTCTTTGAAATCTGTTAGAAGACACACAGTATGAACCAGAGCAAACCCCAGTTCTCTGTGCCTCATTCCTCTAGAACAATCACTAGAGCTCCCTGCGGACGGCCCATTGCTAGTACTTCGGCAGCACCTGTGGAACACGGTTTATTCTGGAGCTAGCAGTTTTAAGGAAACTGAATTTGTTTACAGACTATCAAAATCAAAACAGATGGGGGAAATATGGAAGAAGAGGAAAAAAATCTCAGGAGAACCACTGTCTGGCATTGTCCCAGCAGTTTATTTTAGCTCCTGGCCAAAAGGCCTAGTGTCTGCAGTGGAACACGCTCATGACATTTCAGTGACAAACCTGCCTGGGTTCTGACTTGTCCTAGAGCATATACACTTAGTCACCAAGGGAGAGGGAGACAGGAACCAGCTGGTTGGCAGAGAAACACCCTTGGCATGAACTGTATTCTTATGTTGACACTGCCACAAGCTGTACTCCCAGATGGAAGAAAATTTGAAAGAAGCTAGTTGTAAGTGGTGGGAAAGAATAATAATGTTAATCTGCTTTTGTGCTTGCCATCAGCACTCCTAAGCCTTAACACCACATTGTCAGTATTTTTTATTGCCTGTTCAGAGATGTTTTAACTGATAGGGCCATTTTGATTTTCCACAGTCGAGGACTTACGTGCAATAGACTCTTGAAAGATTATTCATAAATTGATCGTTCTTTCACTTTGCTTCCATTGACCAAGTTGGAACATACTAAAAAAGCGAACGTGGGCTTCCCTGGTGGCGCAGTGGTTGAGAGTCCCCCTGCCGATGCAGGGGACACGGGTTCGTGCCCCGGTCCAGGAAGATCCCACATGCCGCGGAGCGGCTGGGCCCGTGAGCCATGGCCGCTGAGCCTGCGCGTCCGGGCCTGTGCTCCACAACGGGAGAGGCCACAACAGTGAAAGGCCCGCGTACCGAAACTAACTAACTAACTAAATAAATAAAAAAGCTAACGTCATTTTTATTTTCATCCCTTAGGAACCTGCAGAGTGTGGGGCGTTTTCTAAGCCGTGCTTTGAGAACTGTCAGAATGCTGTAACCACCTCCAGGAGGAATGATAATAGTACATTGCATCCATTTGGCACTTACAGTCCACAAAACAAACAGAAAGGTAAGATTCTATCCATTCTCATCTGCTGCAAGTGGTATGAGAAAACAGGAGAGTGTTTATTTAGAAAAAAAAAAAGAACAAAGGGGAATTAATTAGACTAAGTGCAGACTTCGTTACTCTGAGGCATGAAAATGAGAGGTGGGTGGGAGATCTCACTCACAGGTTGTGAAGCAGATTCCTGGCATTGCCTAAAGTTTAAGTGACGGTTTCTATGCTTGCTGCCCCAAACATGGAGGGTTACGTATAAAATAAAACCATGCCTGGAGAAACAAAATGACAAACCGTTATATTTTTTTTTAACAGTCTTTTAATATTGGGAGTTACCAAGTGTAAATAACAACTAAACTTACAAAATATTGATATATGGAATAGTATTAAATCATAAAGTGGTCATAACACAGTTCACAGATTATTCTTGTTTCTGAGCGGTAAATACTGTGAACCGAGACCATGATATGATGGTGGAATGTTTTTGTTATTGCCTCACTACTACTATCTTGTATGGATCACATTTCTAGTAGAGCTCTACATGTAAAGACATTGGATTTTCTTCTTTGTTTTTCAAAAATTATACTTAAGGCCACCAAGAGAATTCTTTTTATTTCCCTGCGTCTCCTTTCTTTAGTACCTTTACTTTTTTGTATGGCAAAAGCAATAGATATTCATGACAGAAAATTAAGAGAAAAGCAGTAAAGGGAATATTTAGTGGCACTCATACTTCTGTCAGAGATACTGATCAATAACATTATGTATATATTGAAAGTGTTTCCTTCATGTAAATATGTGTATATAAAATAAAATGAAATATATATTAAATGTTTAGGAAATTGCCTTTTAATTAATAGCACATTATGAAAATCTTACTATGTCATTGAATATTCCATAACATCACGTTCAGTAATTGCATAGTAGTCTAGTGAGTGGAGGTGCTGTTTATGTAATCAATCCCTTATTTACACTTAAGATGTTACCCAAATTTAACGATGGGGGAACAATTTCTAGACTCTGAGATTACTCCATCAGAACAGACTTGTAAATCTGAGGTTCCTCTGGAATTAAATTCTTTCATCTGAATGGGATGTTTTTTCCTCTGAATTCCTCTGTTTCAGTGAGAGTAGCAGCAACAGCTGTGATCATTTATCGTTTACTGTCACATACTGTGGTGAGCAGTTTACATGCACACTCAAAGTAGGTGGTATTATTATCCTCATTTTACAGATGAAGAAATAGAGAGGAGAGTAAATGACTAACCCAAAACCATATATAATCCCTGCAGAACCTGAATACATCTCCTGTCTCTCTGACTCAAGTTCATTCCCTAAACCACAGCATGGGCCCTGTCTTACACTGGTCTCTTGAAACTGTTCTTTCACCTCATCCCAAGAGCATCCATTAGAAGCTGACTTTACTTTGTGTCAGATAAAGAAACACCCAGTATGTCTTTCCTCATCTTAATAAAATTAAAAGTTATCTTGACAAAGCAGCATCTCCTTCTGAGTCCTTCAGTCGCAATAGCAGGAGAATCTGGGGAAGGAACAGCAAGTTTCCCTCACACCGGAAGAGCCTTCTCTCTACCGCGTCCAAATAATGATCAAGAACATTCCAGCCTTTATATAACTGGATTGGCACTTAATTCTCAAGCAACATGTGGTCCAGTGGCAATCCAAGTTCCGGGTTTTATTCCTAATTACACCAGTGATGTCCAAAGGAACATTGGACACATTACCTCCCATCCTCTGTCTTTTTCAGTACTTATAAAATATCGATGCTGAAGAGATAATTACGCAGTATATTTTTAGAGGACATTGAGATCCTCAAGGAAATGGGATACTATCTCTAGGAAGGCTAGCAAAGGCTAAAATAATGAAACTGTAGAACTAGATATAGTGTAAGGATCCACCCAGAAAAAAAATTTTAAATAATAAAGTCCACCCAAAACACACGCTAAAACTAAAATGCAGTAATACTTTGGAACTTCAGTAGAGTGTTCAGAGTTTGTATGTCACTGAACAATTAGAGTCCTTTAGGCACAGAACCACTGGGAGGTTCTGTCTCTTCCCTCCCTCCTGAGACATAGATCTGCGGTCCATAAGGTTACCGCTACACATCCTCCTCCCACCTCAATTTTCCAAGGAAACATCGAAAATCCAGTTCTTTTAGGAAGTGACCCCATTAAACATTATTTTTTTAAAAAGCAAAATCTATTGTCATTATTTCCTTGGGGATCTGTGATATAATACTTGGTTGTAAGAATTAGGCTTATCAAAGCACAGATCTGTTATATTTTAATTATAAGAGGCCAGTAGATGGAATGCTCTTTCTTTTTATATAAGCCTATTGACTGAGAGACCAAAAAATGTATATAACAGAATTTATAGACATGACGCTGTAGAAGAATATCACGCTCATCACATCTTTGTGTAGCGTTAACAACATTTTCATTTTTGAGAACCATTGAGAGTTCCCGAGTTTACGACGCACACGAGGTGGCCGTAGGCCTCAAAGACTCATGAAACTTGAGTGAGTGTTGACTCGCCACCACCAAGCCTTTTGAAGGAGCTCCTTTAGAAAAACAAGATTGACTTGACAAAATGTAACGTCTAGTGAGGAGAGGAACGGTTACAGCCAAAACATTAACTTTTTTTTTCTTCCTTTCCTCCTTTCCTTTGTATATTTAAAAGTCCAATCTTGATATGCTGTGTTCCATCTATTTTTGTAATAATAGTAGTACCACCCATTGTTCCACTGTTATTTTTTTATATATGCATATTCCTGTCAAGCTGTTACAGAGAAAAGGCATTTTTAGAACTAACGTTTGTAGAAATTGTAACACCAGAAAATTCACATTTGCGTTGGAGAATTGCTCGCAATGCCCGCAGTGGAATGAGCGTAGGGCTCCAAGATGGTAATAGGATGGAGGTTGTGTCCCAGGGGTTTACTATAAAATCCTATTAAGCATTCGAATGGTAATGAAGTGCACAAACACTGCATTTTCTGAAGAATCTTGCTGGCAGATCTCACCCTGGGCCAAGTTACAGCCTAAGCACAGTTTGCCTCTGGTTTGTTTTTCCCTCTCCTTTAATAGTTCTCATCTTCCCTTTGTGCTCTACTCCTGCTTCCTCCCCACTTTCAGTTCACGCAAACTCCAGCCGCTGCCCCAGTAGCCCATTGCCTCAAGTCTGCCCGGGATCACCCACGGAGGTCTTCTCAGGACTTTCATCCACACCCCAAATCAAATGTTTCGCTTCCATGTCCTGTCCCACCGGATCCATGTGCCCTGGGGTCCTTTGAAGAGACACATAATAGTGTGATTATTTATAATATCTTCCCTCCTGGGAACCTGCATGTATCCACCCCCCTAGAGCACATAAGGCACTGCCGCTGCAGTGATGATCAGAAATTGAATTATACTTTTCAATTTTCCTGATGTTTCTGGGATACCTCCGTTGTGCAGAATGCACTAGGCTGCAACGCTGAATACAATGCTGTTATTGTTCTCAAAAACAGTCTAAAGTAGGGGTCAGCCCACCTTGTCTGTAAAGGGCCACGTAGTCAATATTTCAGGCTTTGTGAGCCATAGGATCTCGTTCGCAGCTCGTCACCTCTGCCACTGTAGTGCGCAAGCAGCCACAGACAGTGCGTGCATGAATGTGTGCAGTGAAACTTTATGTGCAAAACCAGTTGGCGCGCCGGTTTGGGGCCAGGGCCATAGCTTGCTGAGTTCTAGTCTAAAGGCACAAACTCTTTTGCCCTTCTTTTCTGATCTGGCCCTGGCAGGATGGATCCTGTAAAACAAGTCACAACAATAAAAGATGGTGATTAAAATAAGGGTCATTTGGTCATGGATGAAGTAGTGACTAGAGGTGCAACGTTCACAGGTGATATATAAAATGACCCTGTACACTCAGTGAGATCCAGAAATACTATTTTTAGGGGATAAGAATTCCAGACTTTCACAGTGATAAAGGGCTTAACAAAGGTGTTTGGGCCAAGCGGGGAAAAAAATATTCTTTACAGCAACTAGATTTGTTGTTTAAAAAGTACCAAGGATAAAGAATCATCAGAGAAGATACTAACCTCTGCATCTATCATTACTTTAAAAACACATAGATTATTCATGTGAATGAAATAAAAATGAAAGTTAATGATCGTAATGAAACCAGAGGAGATGCTGAAGAAGAGGAAGGAGAGGAGGAAGAGATGGACAAGGAGGAAGTTACCTGTGGTCCAGTGAGAGAAATGAATGTAGATAAATAGGTGATAGATCGATAGATAGCTCATTGCAAAAGCAGCACGTGGTAAATGTTGCACACAAATTATTTTCTGTAATATTAACAGATAGAGCCAAAACGTCAGTGGATAAAGATATTGAAGATGTATTTCTTGCTCAAATCACAGCCCAGGGAGAACTGAGGGACTTGGGCTCCTTCCATTGGTAGCTGGGCCTCATCCACTCATGGTTGCAGCTGGCAGATGGGATTTGGGGGGAAGGTGGGGAAGTTGCGTATACCCTTCCTTAAGCACTGAGACCGGGCACAACATTGACCACCGTAGCTCACATTCTATTGGCAAGAACCAGTCTAGATACAAAGAGGGCTAGAAAATGGGGTCTGGGGTCTAGCTGTGTGCTCAGGAAAAAAGGAAGAACACAGACACTGGGAGCGCTAATATTCTCCACCACTGTTGTAAAAGTACCTACAGATCCCAGAGCAACAGTGAAGGTTTCATGGAGAAGGGGATATTTGAAGTGGACCTTGGGAGAAGGGTGGGACTTTAATGGATGAAGTGGGTTTTGCAATTATATGAGCAAAGACACTGGGGTAGGAAAACCTGGCCTTGTGGTCTGCGAGCAATAAATAGTCTTGAGTGGCTAATGTGTAATAGGAGATAAAGTTGGCTGCCGGGGACACAGACCTTTATTCTGTAGGCAGTTGTGTGTGACTGCAATGTTTTTGAGCAGGCAATTACGTGGTCACAGCTATGTTTACCACCAGTGAAAGATGGACTGAGAAGTTGAGGATGAGTGATTAGAACCAATGGAAAAGATGTTGTTCCAATATGTCCCTTGTTTCAGTTTATCTTGTAGACCATCTGCTCTTTTTCTCTCAGCAAATCTTTGGCTGCCTAACTGCTGCCATATTACCAGATCACTGGAGTGGGGGACAGTGCAGGGGGACAGTGCTGGCTGCCTTTGCTCCTCATGCTTCTGTACCCTGATCATCTTACTTACCAGATTCCTGCTTCAAATCTCATTCCCTGGGACATGTCAGCACTGCTAGAACTGCCTGCATTTTATACTGGTGTCTGGGGCAGAGCTTGGAGCCAGTGCTTCCCTGGTGTATTCATCAGGGTTCTCCAGAGAAACAGAACCAGTGGTGTGTGTGTGTGTGTGTGTGTGTGTGTGTGTGTGTGTGTGTGT